TTCTCCAGTCTTCCAAGGATGCTATTTATAGCTGGATTGGATAATCTATCCGTTGAATCAAAATAGACTATCCGTTGCATTTGCTGGCTTCAATTTTGAATGAAGATTGTGATTTGAAGATTCCTCATTGGAATGGGTGTTTGGACATACCCAATTGTTTAAGGAGGGATTCCTTTTTCCACAGAATCCGTCTTCTAGCTGTTGTTCAAGAATTCTGGACTGTAGCACTTTACTCTGTTTGTCTTCTAGTGCTTGTTTAGGAATTCTGGACAGGCTCTTCAAGTTTTAGAGGTCCAGACTTTTTCTTCGAGTCATTTGTTCTTGAATCAGCATAATTATCTTCAGTCTAGCCGTTGAAAATCAAGAGATTGATTTTTCCTTACCAACGGGTAGAATTTCTTCATTTAAGACTTAGATAATTTTCTAAGTCTTTTCTCACTTGTCCGCTTTTTGAGAATTCCGGTCTTTCTTGAGGCATCCGGTTCTTAGCTGACAAATCCGGAAGAGTCATACTCAGTCTTCCGGGTGAGAAAGAAATCTGCGCTAGTCTTCCGACTTAGCCTTCAGCGGGTTGTAGCGAGACATCCGGTTCTTATGTAGTCTTCCGGATTGGAGGATTTTCGTCTGCTTTGAGAAATCCTAACTTGTCTCTGACATTTCCGATCAAGATATCCAATTTCCAAATTACTGAATTTGATTAAGTCTTCAGGCATCAAACTGCTTAAAGAAATATCACAACTTTATTGGAAATCTCAAGAACTCGGTTTTAACAATATTTCTAAAAAGAAAAATTACATTGAATATTTGGGAAGACCTAAAGTCCCTATTACATTCTAAATACATCATCATCAAAATCTATAATATTTTTCCCAACAGAAATCCAGCGAGTGGGGACTCACGATGCAAATGCTTTTTAGTTTGGGAATGGTGCATACATGCCCAAATTAGATCTGAGACTCTCAAATCTGTTCACATCAAGTGCCTTTGTAAAAATATCTGACAGTTGTTCTTTTATGGAGGTACTATACGTTCTAGACTTACCGTTCTATTTTCAAAAAGCTTACGTATAAAGTGGTGTTTTGTATCTATGTGTTTTGTACGTGAATCGAAAACTACATATTTTGAAATACTGATAGCGCTTGTATTGTCACAGTGTAGAGGAATAGTGTCATGCCCTATCTCATAATCAGCCAGCATGGACACTGAGAGTTTTGTCTTTAGCTGTTGTTGACAAAGACACTGAGTTCTGTTTTTTGCCTAGCCAAGAAACTAGATTTCCACCTAGGAAGAAACAACCCCCAGACGTGCTTTTTCGATCATCAATATTCCCAGCCCAATCAGCATCACTGAACCGTACAAGACTTGCTGTACCACCCTTTGCATACCACAACCCTAAATTTTGTGTTCCTTTAACATATTTCAGGATGCTCTTTTCAGCTTTGAGATGTGATTCTTTTGGATTTTCCTGATATCTGACACATACTCCTACACTGTAACAAATATCTCATTTGTTAGCGGTGAGGTATAACAAGCTTCGATCATGCCTCTATACTTTGTTGCATCAACCTCTTTTCCAGGGTTATCTCTGCTGATCTTTTCATGTGTTGGCAAAGGTGTTCTATCACTCTTATTGTCACTCATGTAAAACTTCTTTAACATGTTTTAGGCATACTTCATTTATGATATAAATATCCCTTCGGCTGTTTGCTTAACTTGAAGTCCCAGGAAGAACAATTCGCCTATCATGCTCATCTCAAACTCCATTTCCATGGTTTTGACAAATTTATCAACATGTGCTTTAAATGTTGACCCAAACACAATATAATCTACATAAATTTGAGCTATGAGTATAACAGAGTCATACCTTATGTAGAACATTGTATTCTCTTCTCCCCCCTCGCTTGTATCCTTCCTTTAAGAGATATGATGTAAGTCGCTCGTACCATGCCCGTGGAGCTTGCTTTAGTCCATAGAGTTCCTTTTGCAGCTTATAAACATGTTTAGGATGTTTTGGATATTCTTCTTTTAGGTATCCATTCAAGAAGGTTGTTTTGACATCCATTTGGTATAGCTTCATGTCAAGTATACATGCCATACTAATCAGCATGCGTATGGATTCCAGTCTAGCCACCGCTGCAAAAGTTTCCTCAAAATCAATTCCTTCAACCTGAGCGTATCCCTATGCTACTAGTCAAGCCTTTTTGGTGATCACATTACCTTCTTCATTGGTTTTGTTTCTTTATATACATTTTGTGCCTATGACGTTCACATTTTCTAGTTTGGGCACAAGTTTCCAGACTTTGTTTCTTTCAAACTATTCCAATTCCTCATGCATTGCATTTATCCATGCTTCGTTTGTAAGAGCCTCTTTGATGTTTCTTGGCTCCATTGATGATGTATTATAAGCCTTTGTCATGTCCAGAAAGTTTATTTTCTTCCTTTGAGTTTTGATTCTTTATGATGGTTCTATGGGATGATTTTTCTGTAGATGTGTTGGAAGAGTTGATGTTTCTAGAACCTTTACTTCCTCATCTGCTTTTTTTCCTTCTTCTGCATGATTTGTCTCTTCAAGTTCATAGGGCGTTGTATCATGTGCTTCATCACTCCCTACGTCATCCTGCAATCGTCTTTCAATACAATCATCTACAACAAGATATGTTGATTCCATAATTGTCTTAGTCCGTTTGTTGTAGACATGATATGCTTTACTGTTGGGTGAGTAGCCGACATGGGAATCCTTGCATTTTACTATTATAAAATTTTTATATTTATTTATTGAAGTATAACATCTATTTTGTGCACTTGTTATAAATAAGTTCCAACTTAGCAAACTATATATCATGGGTCATATTTTCACGAGATCTACCCAACGAATCTAATTTTGAATATAAAATTTGACATTATAAATAGTTTAAGGTGTTACATTCAAACCCTCGACACCTAAAGCTCTCGAGACCACAATATAACAACACCTAGGGCGCGCAGACTAACTATTATGTTAGTGTCCAAACCTATTTTAAATGATATAATATTTATTTCAACACTCTTGAATTTCTTCTAATATTTTACAATTCTTTCGAGTTTCTTCCAAAATCTCTAATATTTCCGAATTTCTTTGAACTCCTAGTTGTTTCAAAATGTTTCTTTTTTTCTAAATGTTTCCAATTTATCTAGGGGGATGGTATTTGCACTCCAATTTTTTGTATTGACACCTCAAAATGCACTTTTATCTCTCTTACATGAATAGTGTGATTTGGAGTGTCAATAACAAAAAATAGAGTCAAGTATCATTTCTTTTTTTTAGCCACAAACTATAATTCCTACCTAAAAAATAAAATGATTTGTTTTGTTTATTTTAATTAAATGTAGATATTATATTAATTTTGTTGTTGTAGGTTTATTTTTAGACTATTCAGTGTGGATAAAGAGGTATATGCGTGATGGCTGAGTCGGCGGAAACCTCAGCCCGTGATGGGTGGAATACCACCTCTCTATGGCGTGACCATGATGGCCAATACATGGTGATGCCATCACAGTGGTCGCAACGGTCTTTTCCTTTTTTTTGGAGGGGGGGGGGAGTTTGCTTCGTTCCTTCTTCTTTCTTCTTCTTTGTTTTCTCTTCTTCTTGAGTCCCGCCGTCTTCGTCTTATATTCTTCTTCTTGTTCTTTTATTTGTTTACTCTCTAATTTTACTTTTTTTTTTACTTTTTTTGGGGTCTTCCTTTTTTCACGTTATGTCAAGGTAATTTTTCATTTGAATTTTGACGACATATTTATTTTTTATTTTAATTTTATTTAAATATATTTTTAAAAAAATTAAAAAATGTTTTGGGCTGTGATTGAAAAGAGAAAAGCTGACATGATGTTGAATGGTGTTGAGTGGGATGACGTGATTATCGTGATGGTGTTACCTACACTAAATGGCTTATAGGAATATGTTTGAAAGGTTGGTGGCCTGGGGTTGAACTTTTGATGTGGCGTTAATTAAGTTATTTTCTATGATTTATTGTTACAACCACCCGAATGGAAGACAATTGACTCGTTCCACTCTGTAAGACTATCCAGAATTAGGGTTGTAAACGATCCGAATCGAATCGAATAGTCATGAAAAATATTCATATTCGTTAAGATGGAGTGATATTCGAATTCGAATTCGGTTCGAATATTTTTTAAGATTCGTATTCGGTTTGTTTAATATATTAAACATATTCGGTTCGTTTAAGTATTCGATTCGTTTAAATATATTCGGTTCGTTTAAAAATATTCAGTTTATTTAGATTTTAAAATATTTTATATCCATTTGATATATATATATATATATATATATATATATATATATATATATATATATATATTAAATAAATTGTATAATTAGATTTATATTCCGATTATTTTTGTCAAACTCACGAATCGAATACCCTTGATTCATATTCGTATTCGATAAGGATTCGAATATTTATTCAGATTCGTATTCGGATTCGGATTTGAAAAAATCGAATACGAATCACATTAAACGAATACGAATCACGAATCGAACAAAAAATATTCGATTCATTTACAACCCTATCCACAATGCTGCGCATGTCTCCTACCCATAGCCAACATTGCCGCTGCATGCACGGGATACTTATTGTCCAGCCAATCTGTCCCCCAGCCTCTCCGCGAGTCATCCTTCCCCAGAGATGCATCTCTCTCTTTTTTTTAGGTAAAGTTAGTGTTGGTTCCATGGTGTTGGCTTATATTTTGGCAAAATAGAATCTCATATTTGTCAGGTGTTGTACTAGGTAGAAACCTCTATTTGTTAGGAGAGGTTTAATTTATTTAGACTTCTAGTGTTGCTGCAGTTTTCGAGGTTGACACAGAAGATGGTACAGCACGATGCTGCAGCACCTTGTTCGGGATCAGAGGTCTGAGCACGGGATTTTAAGCTACAATCTGAATTAGAGACCTATTGGGACTGTGATTACATGATAATAACTCCAGCTGTACATGCTAAGGAATCCCAACTCTATAGGCTACTTGTGGATCAAGATCAAGGAAGTTCACTTCAAGCCAACTTCTACTAACCTATTCCTACTAGGATTGTGTTGAGAGAATCCTATAAAAACGCAGCAGGTCCCTGGGAATTACTTGGAGCGATTGAGAGGGAGAACAAAGAATATACGCTGATGTAGAGCATTCCTGTCGCGTCCCGGAGCTTCCCATGCGTGAAGAAGGTTGCGATCTACATGAAGGAGGAGATTTTCAACGCCAAACTGATCGTGACATCCAGAAGATGAAATAGAGCTGAACGAGTGGGCTGTCAACACGTTTGTCCTCGTGATCTCGGTGGAGATGTGATAGCCGAAGCGGATCTGAACAGAGTTTGGGTTAGAAATCCTAGATTAGAAGTTTTGTCATAACAATTCGGAGAAGAGTGTCTCATCATGTTGTTATGTACTGGTGTAACTTGCATCTAGTGATTTAGTGGAGGCTATTACACGGACATGGGCCCCGCAGATTAGGAGAGTTTCTTTGAACTGCGTAAACATATCTGGTGTCATTTTTTACGCATTTTTATAGTTACAACATTCTGTCCAGTAGGCATTGTAACACCCTCTGCATCATCTGCTTCTGTCTGTGTGTGCTTGTGACAGAGAAGTGTTATAGCACCATGTCCGTCATCTGTTACTGTGACAGTGCTGCAGCATAGTCTCTACAACATAGTTGATTGTTTTGTTTGCATAGTTCTTAATTGGTAATTTCCGCTGCGCCCCCACGAACTTTCAGTTAGTTGTTAATTTTATTCTTATTATGTATTTTTATTTATTTGTTTATAATATCTCTCACATAAAATGAATTAATAAGTATATTAATACAAATAAATAAATAAAGTGATGTGGAAAAGCTTTTTTTTATTACACATTTTTTCAGATATATTTTGTAGTATTTATTTAATTTATTTTTTAATAAAAAATTATCTTCTATACAATAATAACGAAAGAAGGGTGATCTCGAACTAGTGAAAGTGCATGTGAGAAAGACGAATATTGTTAAATATATCATTTATTTAATATACTTAATATTATATACTATAATTATGGTTGTTACCTATTATAGTTAGAGTTATTACTATATAATATTACCTTATATTATTAGTAATTAATGTGGAGGATTCTAGAATATATTCATCCACCTATAAATCGATGTTTTGTATTAGTCCCTTAGCTTATTTATTCAAGCAATAAAACATTATTTATTAATTATTATCATATTTTACATGGTATGAGAGCCTTTTCTCTTGATGAACTAATACATTCGGTTTCCGCCACCGCCGTCGCTGGTGGTTTATCCGGCGACGGCGGCCTCACTCCCACTTGTTCCTCTAATAACCATTCTCCATGCTCCTCTATCCGGCTCCGGATCCATCACTGTCGCTTCGTTATTGTAGATCATATCGTTACCTCAACCTGCTAAGTTGGCAGATCTTCGGCCAACATGCATCTCCGCAGTACCTCATTCCTTGTGTTCCTTCTCTAAACAAGTCGCTCACGACTCCAACGCACGTCATCTTCGACATCAGCGTCATGAGTCTATCCGCAACAGCTCTTTTCCCATCCTCCTCGAAGCCGACACATCTCTTTCCCGATAATAATCTTTCATCTTCTCTTCTGGTCCGGATGCATTCAGCCTGCTCTAGCCAAAGATATGTCTTTAGCTTCTTTTCCCATCAGGATGTTGTAAGCATGCTAAATATATCAATTATTTAATATATTTCATATATTTAATGTTATATATTATAATTATGGCTGTTACCTATTATAGTTAGAGTTATTATTATGTAATATTACGTTATAGTATTAGTTATTAATGAGGAGGATTCTAGAATAAATTCCTCCACTTATAATTAGGGGTTAAGGAACAAAATAGGAGTAAAACATTGATTAAATCCTAAAATAAGAGTTGAAAGATAAAACCCCCAAAATAGGAGTTAATCACCCTTAGCCATTAACCATGGGCTGGAACGCAGATATCCCCTCATCTAGATCACAAGCTACATAAGCAATTTCAGAAACATCATTATGGACGGTGACCCAAACAATTCATCACCATCAACTTTGTTACTCGCTTCCAAATGCTAGGACCGAGCAATCTCTGTAGCCATCCTTTTTTGTGCATTTCTTCGTGTCCGGTAGTAGTTAACAGCAGCAGCAGCGTCATATCGGCTACACACCATGACGGGGTTAGCTTGGGCGAACTTCACTCGAAACCTAGGATGCCGAGGCGGGGAATGGCGGCCACCAAGCTAACAAGCCGCTTGATCTTCACATTCAAAGTGAGGCTAGAGATCGACGAGATCTATCACCATCACACTCTACCGCCATCATACTTTGCACCATTATCGACACCACCATCACACTCTGCACAGTCTCCGTCGCAGTGCCACATTGACAACAATGAAGGTATAATTCCAAACATGGCCACATATAATGTCACATATGGTAATACATAATGCCACATATTACCATACAATGTCACATATGGTAATGCACGATACCACAGATTATCATATATAATGTCACTGTTGCAAATTCAAAATGTCAAACAAATGAACACCATCTCGGAGACTCCAGGTTTGTGTCCACCTGCAACCACCACATGCACCAACATTGCATTTGATTAGTCTTAGGTGCTGCCTGTACAAAAAAAATACACTCCTACCATCCCCATCTTATATTCTAGGTTTGTCTTAGCATGGAATTTGAGAAAAAAATGAATCTTTTGTGGCTGGGATTCATTTAGAAAAAAAATATTAAACCAGCACCACTCTCTTTTTCCTTGAAATAGAAAAGAGAGATTGTTTAGAGAGGGACCAAACAAGAACAAAGAGAAAATTGGGTTCGAGTGAGCATAAATAAAGCATCTGAAAAAATGAAATCATAAAGGTCTAAGAAGATTTTTTCCGATTGAGTAGTGCGTTGGGAATAGGTAGGTTTTTTCTTATTTAATTACTCCTATTTAGGAGAGTTTATGTTTGAGCTTCTACTTTGAGGATATAACATATGTTTTACTCCTATTTGGGGGGTTTTCTTTATAATTAGATGTTTTGTATTCCTTCTTTATTTATTCAAGCAATAAAACATTACTTATTATCTTATAAATATGATACTGTTGAGGATAAAAAATACTCCCTCCGTCCCTAAATAAACTTCCATTTTTGACTTTTTGAGGATTTAAGGAGGGATATTTTGGTGTTGACTTTACAAAAATACCATTGATGTGATGTGTAAAAGTAAGATGTGATATGTAGATTATTAGTAAAAAGCTATGATGTGATAGGTAGGGTATGAAAAGGTAAGGGGTAAAAGGGGTTTTTTAAGGGAAAAGAAAAGTTTATTTGAGGACAAAGAAAAAACAAAAGAGGAAGTTTATTTAAGGAGGGAGAGAGTATTCGGGAGAAGAATGAGTAAAAACGGAGGTTGCGTGTTGCCTAGACTATGAGAAAATGTCTCTCAGACTTATTTAAGTTTATACCTGTTTCGTACATGTTTGAAACCTAGAATGTTGACTAATGATCACAATCTCATCACCCAACTAAGCTAGAAAGAAGCCAGTTGTTTGCAGAGTTTAAGTAAAAAAGGTGAGCCTTTCAAAAAAAGGATTAGTCAAAAGAAGACTTTTAGAGAACGCATTATTGGGGTTTTACTCAATGTTTTTAGAACCGGACCAGACCGGCCGGTCCAACTGGTCGGACCGCGAACCGGTGAGGAATCCGGTCCGGTTCAAATGTAAAACTCGGATCACCATCGACCTGCCCAGACCCGGTAGACCCGGCGGAACCGGGTCGACCCGGCCGACTCGGGGGTTTCTTTCTAATTTTTTTTTTATTTTTTTGGCTATAAAATAAAATGATGGAGATAGGATTTAAACACAAGACCTCACAATATAATTCTCCAAGTCTCTAACCACTTAAGCTACTCAACTCTTGTTAACTAAGTCATGCAGAATAGTATATATAGTGTTGTTTATTTGTGTTGAGTAAATTAACAAAACTTCTAACTATTTGTAAGAAAGATCATGTTTGTGTTGTGTGATTATTTTATAATCTTTTAAAATATTTCAAAGTAAAAAAAATTATATTTTGTATTAAATAATAATTAATAATTTATATCTAAACAAATATTATCATCTATAAAATGAAGAAATATATACTAATTATAATAAAATATGGAAAGTGTGAAAGAGTATATGAACAATGACAAATAAGTTTAATTGAAAAGGAAGAAAACATGACGTAAATCGTTCAAAAAATATAATAATAAAATATAGTTCTTTTCATTCGTAATTTTTTTGACAAAAAAATAAGAGCGAGACATGAAGTCAAGTAATTTTTGGGTAGATCTTTTAATTTGAAAAAATTTGTAATGGCGGCCCTAAATAAGATTAAAACATAGAGAAAAGTACCAAAATATGACTTTAATGTTTTTTCCCCAAATAGGACTTTGCACTGTGGTAATGTGACACTGTACATGTGCGCATTACTATACTTTTTTGGTAATGTAGATTACCATGTTTGGTGAAGAATGAATGTTTTCTATTGAATAATAATGGGAGATTACATGTGTATATATACAAGGATTTGCTAATGACAATAGGAAACCATAATTAATACATCCTATACAAATATGGTAGCTACCAATATACATTAATATTAAATATAACAAGAATATATTTAACATGCTCCCAACCACGCAAATGATGATTGTCGCACGCCTATACAGTCTCAAAACTCGGAGAAGACCATGGAGGGTAGACCCTTGGTGAAGATGTCTGCATACTGTAGGGAAGAAGGCACATGAAGAACTCGTATTTGACCAAGAGCTACTCTGTCACGTACAAAGTGAATGTCAACCTCAATATGCTTCGTGCGCTGATGCTTGACAGGATTGGCAGAGAGGTAGACGGCACTCATGTTGTCACAGAAGACGAGGGTAGAGCGTGTCAGAGGTTGCCGGAGTTCTAGAAGAAGATTACGTACCCAGCTGACTTCAACGACGACATTAGCGACAGCTCGATATTTTGCTTCAGCACTAGATCGAGAGGTGATGAGTTGCCTCTTAGAGGACCAAGAGATGAGGTTGTCGCCTAGAAAAATACAGTAACCGGAGGTCGATCAGCGAATGTCTAGGCAGCCAGCCCAATCAGCATCAGAGTATGCCCGCATATGATCCGTCGAAGAAGGTGATATGATGATGTCATGGGTAGGTGTACCGTGTAGATAGCGTAGAACGCGCTTCATGGCCGTGACATGCGGCACACGCGGATCATGAAGAAATAGACATAGCTGCTGCACGGCATAAGTGATATCTGGCCGGGTGAAAGTGAGGTATTGTAGTGCTCCCACAATAGAGCGATATAGAGAGGGATCCGGCGCTGGAGGACCGACCGTGGCCGAAAGCTTCCCGCGGGTGTCCACGGATGTAAAAACAGGTTTGCACGATGTCATGCCGGCCCGTTCGAGGATGTCATAGATGAACTGAGTCTGAGTGAGGAACAGGCCGTGAGAGGTCCGCCGGACATTGATCCCAAGGAAGAAGTGAAGGTCGCCCATATCTGTCATAGCAAACTCCCCTTTAGCCGTGCTGTGAGCTGGTGCAAGAGGGCAGTAGATGAGGTTGTAAGGACAATGTCGTCAACATAAAGCAGAAGGAGAGCCATGTCCTAGCCGCGACTGTAGACAAATAAGGAGGTGTCGCTCTTACACCCACTGAAGCCAAGAGAAAGGACAAATCCTATGAATCGCTGGTACCAAGATCTGGGTGTTTGCTTGAGTCCATAGAGCGCCTTGTTTAATTTGCAGACATAATGTGGGCGAGCAGGGTCTTGAAATCCCGAAGGCTGAGCGGTGTAGACAGTGTCTGAGAGGTAGCCCTGCAAGAAAGCATTTTTGACGTCGAATTGGTGGATCGGCCATCCTCTGAACACTGCAAGGCTCAAGACGATGCGTATAGTGGCCGGTTTGACAACTGGGCTAAAGGTCTCGTCGTAGTCGATGTCATGGCGTTGATTGAACCCACGAACAACCCATCGAGCTTTGTACCTGGACAGTTCACCTGTTGGGCCAAGTTTGTGGCGATAGAGCCATTTACCGGAGATTACATTTTGGTTAGGGGAGGGGGGTACTAAATCCCATGTATGATTAGCTATCAAGACATTATATTCATCTAGCATAGCATTGTACTAGTTAAGATCTTTGAGAGCACTACGGTAGGTAGGGGGTATGGGGGAGATGGAGGCAACGGTGTTTAGGTTTAGGATTTGTTTGGGGCAAAAGATGTCGGCCTTGGAGCAGGTGACCATAGGGTGGGAGGGGGCTGTTGGGTTAGAGGCAGGTTCGTTAGGGGTGGCGAGGGTCTC